AAAGGATCCCAAAATAAGACTTGTTTCTATCGAATATGAAAAGATATTTATCACCAGGAATCAGAATCCATGTTGAATAAAATCTCTCCTGGGTATTCCTGACTTCGTGTCATCCACCTGCTAATTAACAGCAAGATATTATTGCGATTGCACTAGGATAACAGGATGAATAATTCATGATACCTCACCCAGAGATCCAGCACATTAGTGGTTCTTAATCAGTTCCTAATCCAAGGATTCAGCATAATCTTTATGGCAGAATTAACAACATACATACACAGATAATGTGTTTAGTAAAAATGTAAAGCAATTGTTTCAAACACAGCTAACACTAGCCTAATAAGCTCAGGTAAAGCTGGGTTTTACTAACCTAAAACCAAGTTAATTCTGTCCACTTTTAGCCTAGACTCATGGCTAGTCTCAGAGCAAGGAAGTATCAGCTGTGGAAACCAGGAGATCAAATCAGCAGTGGTACCAAAGCATCCTCATCTGTTAGCAATGTTGGGCTCTGATGATACTGATGACAGTAAATGCCTCAACTTCCCAATCCTTCCATACCATTTACAGCCCAGAGAGGCTTAACAGGACTTGTTTCAGAAGAGACAAATAGCAGTCCTTAAAAAGCTTGAAGGGGCACAAGAGAACAGATGAGATGTTCCTGCCCTTTAAGGACATGCTGGAATCTCAACACAAACACACTGACCCCGTGCGTGGCCAACAAACACTTGGAGAGACCTGTGCCATTTCCTGCCAAACACTGCCTCAGCCTTCTGCTCCCAGCTCTGGAGCTGGGATGCAGTGACAGGAACACAGCTGATGGCTCCAGGATGGCTCTGGCTGCCGTGGAGACAGGAAGCCACCACAGATGGTCCCCAGGCTGGCCCAGCACCTTCGCAACACCCACCAAAAATTTGTGCGTTCTGAGTGATGCTGCAAGGCCTCAACACCCCCAGTTCTCAGGCACCCTGGGCAGATGTGTCACTGAAGTAACTAGGCTTATACTTCAATAAAAATTAACTGCCTGGATTTGGCTTTTTTCTGTGATTCAGAACAAAGTAAATTTGGGACAAGCACAAGATTCTCAGTGCAGAGACAGAACATGCTCCATCTCATTCAGCAGGGAAACTAGTTACTCAATCACTGTTACCACACACATCTCCTGGCCTCTGCCCTCTGCAAGAGTCAGATGTTCCTTTGTGCTGCTGAGGGCACAGCAACAGTCAAAGAGCCTGTTAGCAACATGCTTCTCCTGCCAAAACCCTACAATTCCTGCTTCCTTCCAGTGTGTGCCTTACGTGCTTGGGAAAGGAATCAGCACTTTACTGCCATCCTCCTCTTTCAGTAGCCTCTGCTTCAGAGAAATCTGAGTAAAGATCATTCCTCAGATGTCCAAACAAGGATGCACTTCTCCAGATGCCACAGATTTTATAGACAATTACTGCAAATATAATTGGTTTGTATTTGTAATCATATTTATATTTATTATAACTTACACTAAATACTATATTTAACATTTATAACTGGCACAACATCCCTGGAAGTCATATGGACAGTGTGCTTGGATCTGGTTCTTCCCTTAGACATGTTGTTAAACCAGATAATTCTTCAGAGATGGAAGAGTTCAGCTCCTAATAGATTCGATCCTGAAGTGGAACCAATCACATTCTCAAATTGTATGAAAATGGCCTATTTTCCCATGCAGTGTAAGCTTTCATGGAAACCTGATTTTTAAATTTGTCACCCTCTCCTCGAGCTTTTTTGTCTTACCTGCACTCGAAACATTCATAACCAAAATGCTTCTTTTCTGAGAGTGCTTTGCAATATTCCAGTGCTAATCCTGCCTTTTCACATGCAGAAAACAAAATTCCTTAGCTTCTAAGGTCTCCTCCCTCCTGCAGTGTCTCAGGAAATGTTTAACACTTATCTATCATCTTCATACTACATAGACAGAAACATTAAAAAATACAGATAAGGATGAATAATCAGAGCTAAAGATTATTTTGTTGTACACATGACAATGACTGTTAACAACCATATGGAAGCACAGTTACCTGGGCCTAGTTTGGGAAAGGAATGGTACCAACAAAGTCCTGACTGGCTGGGGACAAGCAGGTGAAGATAGCTGGGAGCCTGGCTGCCTTTATTTGTAGCAGATGGCTCCATTTCTGACACTAATTAGAAACCTACCTGCCTGAGCTCAGTGTGTAGAGTACATCTTCATTTATCTGAGATATCATTAAGATTCAGACACTAAACCATCTGTATCTATGGAATTTCAAGTACTGCAGGTTTGTTCAGAATAAGATCTAAACATCCTCTGCCAATTATGTGCATAATTAACTTCACACTCTTCAAAAACTGCCACTGATTTCAAGGAGCTGCTTCAATAAACCCAAGACGTATCCAACAAGCTTTTTCATGTAGTTGCAGTGTTTTAGCCAAATCAGCTATGTTAAATTAATTCAAATATGTGGCGTGGATAGAATTAATAAACAGAAATCCAAAGCACTGAAGTATTTTCTCTCTGTCCTTAAACTTACATTGATTTGCTGAAGGATTTCCAGTTGATCCCACACCAACAGAAAATATTTGATACTGTACAGTGACAGGTTTTCACCTTTCTAACTTCCATTAAGCTTTTCATTTCCCTAAACTTGAAGTGTACTCCCAGAAATTTCTTTTCTAGATTGTTCTACAGCAACCTATTGCAGCTGCTGAAAGAGGCCCCAGGAGCAGGTTAGGGAATACCCTTGTGCTTCTTTGGAAACAGATTTGGCTCTGGAAGTCAGCCCACCCAACTTACAGATGGAGATCACAAGGGCAAGCATGAAGAATGGAAAACCACTAACAGAAGTTACATGCAAAGGAAAGGCAACGTGGAAAAACTGTTCTAGAACCCATAGTGAGGCCAAAGCAGTCACTGGAGTAAATGGTTACCTACCAGAGGAACTGTGGTGCTTTGATAGGTGTTATCCATGGAGAGCTCAATCTCAGCACTCTTCTTAAGGCTTCTGCTGCCTAAAACCTCTGCATTCCACAGGGCTACTGCTTATGTTGTACAATAAGCCTCTCCCTACATACAGCCTAAGAAGTTTAGTGTCCCAGAGCATTGGCACATTTTGTTCTATGGGGTTCAATAGGGTGTGGGTCTGTTTGTTCTCTGAGAGATGAACACAGCCATTTAGAGAAAATTTGAACATACTTGAGCAGATTAGGACATAGGCTGAAAGTATCTCTGTCCCTATAAAGATGACACTAATAATTTAAGGTCTGACTACCCCTGAGCTTCCAAGCTCAAGTAGCATCACAGAAGAAGCTGGTTCACTGTTAGCAGCTATCAAGTCACTAAAAATTCAAGGATATGCACAGACTTTGCCTTGAACTTAACCTTTGAACAAAGTTTGCCTGTGAAAGACATGAAAAGTGTAGTTCTGGGCAAGAGTAATGCTCAGCTTTACATAACCCTCACCTAGTAAAGATTAGCAAACATCCTTTTATGTCTGAATTAAGGCAACACAAAGAAACCCCATTTGGGGCAGGGGGAAAGTCACTTAATTATAAGTCTTTTCATTGGAGTTACTTCTGCTTCAAAGTAAGCACTTCGGGTGAATACATGTGGTGTTTTCAAACCATAAACTGGGCATAGCCCAGGATTTATTTTAGAGACTGAGAGACAGAAGACATGACTTGGGGGTCACCTAAGAGAAATACCAGTTCCAAAATACCTGAATCCTCCACTGCATCATTCTGCAGGATCCCTTTGGTCTCCACTCTGGATCCTCTGCACCAGGGCAATAGCTAACCTTCAGCTGCCAGTGCTGAGTAGTCAGACACCTGCTGACTCACCTGCAGACTACATACTGCTCACAGCTTCGTGCCAAAGGACACTAACTAAAATGAGAAAGGACACCTTAGCTTTTAAATTAACAAAGTGATGGTGTTACTTCTATAAACGTGAAAATAAACCTAGGCATTGCCAATAATGATCAGTATTAATCATTCAGATTGTGTCAATGCAAAAGGCAATTTTATGGCCAGGCTTTACCTTGGTTCTACAGGGGCAGGGAAGTAGGGAAGTATCTGTAATTTCATCTTTTTCAGATGTTGCATTAATCTTTCAATTGCTGTCAACTTGTATCAACTTTATTGATACAATAAAGCTAGAGGTATCTATGACAGAATATATAAATATACACAAACCTATGACTGAAAATTCTAAACCTCCAGATACTTAAAAACAACTAGTGTACTGCTCTTAAAAAGTATGAGTAGTTGTTTTGGGTAATGCAGACCAGTAAAAATTATTGCACAAATCAAAGAAAAATAGATGCTGATAAAGAGAGAACTTACATGACCTTTGAGCTAGCTCAGGTGCCAGTGGCAGTCTGGATACAGCTAACTGTTCCTGCTTCTCTGACATACCATTACAGAATCATGTAGGGCACCAACAAATGTACATGTACACTAACTGTTGGGAAAAAACAGAAACAGCAGCGTAAGTTTGTGGACTAGACTTCAGTTAACCAAATAGAGAAAGGCAATCTTTAGGAACAATTATTGCTTCTTCTTGAAGCAGCTAAAAATGAAAGTCACTATGTAGTTTCTATTCACATGTAAGGCTGACTTGGTGCTCAGCACTTCAGAGGAAAAGCTTGTAAGTTCCAGTGCACAGAAGCAAACACAAGTGTTTGCATTGATAGGGTAAGTCATGTGCATTGTAACTTCTCTGTTGCTGAGCAGAACTGCATTACAGCTGCTACTGAGCAAACAACTAAGCATACCACCCTTGGCAACTCCACTCTAACACAGGTGACCACTGCTGTGGGTGCTTTTGGGGTTTGTGGTTTGGGCTTTTCCTTCTTTCAGCAGAACTGTTTGTGTGTTGTTTACTCGTTTAGCATGTGTCAACTTCTCATGCAACTTTTGATGGACTATGTTTTAACCCATCAGTGATGTGTCAGGTAACTCTCCACTCCAAACAAAAGACAGGACAGCTCATGTAGAGATAACATCCCTGAAGCAGCATTTTATTTGATTCACTTAATTCCAAAACATTTAATTTAGAAGTCTGGCATCTCAGTCATCCATCTTAACATGGGCAAATATTGACACAGAGTTGTCAGAATACACAGACAACTAAACAGCCAAAGAGTTTACAAAAAATAAATTCTTCAAAACAACTGCAAAAGGTTACAAGTATCAAAACTCTTAGGTAAATGCACTGCATTAAAAGAAACTGTGCACATAAGTTAGAGGCAAAAAAACCAAATTGCTACTGAAACCTCACATTTCAAACAGTTTATTGTAAACTGATGACCAGAGTTGTCATTTCACATCAGCCTAACTGTTTTCATTGACTGAAAAAAATTTGGGGTGGCTAATTTACTTTGCATGCACAAAATGTACTGCTTAACAGAACTGTCAGCTCATTTCAAATGGAAAAAATTTAACTGGAATCTAGTTCTCCTCAATCATTTTCCATTACTCCTTCCCATATTTTCCAATCAAGAGGCAAACTATAAATGCCTCTTTCTGCACTGCTCAAGTGCAACTAAGATAAATAGGGCCAATAAACCAATCAATCCATCAATGCCCATGAAGACTCATCTGAAACTGCTTCTCGATAAAGTGGACAGCAGATCTGAACAGCTGTACAATACAGATATGCTTAGCACTAGATATTTAGTGTGACTGTGGCAAGGAAATATTGGTGATGATGGGGATGGCCAAGTGGATGAAATAGGGATCAGAGGAAAGCTTTTTAATTATTGCCCTCTCCTGCTTCTTCATCTTGCTGATCACTCGTCCACAGAGTGAGGTTATCTCGAAGTAACTGCATGATGAGAGTGGAGTCCTTGTAGGAATCCTCATTTAGTGTGTCCAGCTCTGCTATGGCATCATCAAAGGCTTGTTTGGCTAAAAGGCAGGCCTGCTCGGGAGCATTCTGGATTTCATAGTAGAACACTGAGAAATTGAGTGCCAGCCCCAGCCTAATTGGGTGAGTGGGCTGCATGTGCTCTTTGCTGATTTCAAATGCCTCTTTGTAGGCAGCTTCTGAGGCTTCCACCACACTGTTCTTCTTCTCTCCAGCAGCAACTTCTGCCAAATAGCGGTAGTAATCCCCTTTCATTTTCAGATAAAAGACCTTGCTCTCATACTGGAAGTCATTGCAGTTCTTGATCAAGTATTTATCTAGGAGAGCCAAAACATCATTGCAGACTGTCTCGAGCTCCTTTTCTATCTTCTCCCTATAGGCTTTAACCTTCTCCAGCTTCTTCTCGTTCCCATCTGCCATGGTCTTCTGCTCTATGCTGCTGATGACGCGCCAGGAAGATCGTCTAGCTCCGACTACGTTCTTGTAGGCTACAGACAGCAGGTTTCTGTCCTCATTTGAGAGGGGCTCATTCAGCTCAGTTACCTGAAAATACACACAAAGAGCAAATTTAAAGGCTTTGCCTTAGAGAAGTGTGTGCAAACTTCCTTCAATACTTTCATCACGAAGGTTCAAGATTCGAAATTACTCCTAGATCCCAAAATTCCTTCTAGACGGGGCCAATTTTGTAACATTGGAAGTTTTAACCTGTTTCTGCAGACAAAAGAGTGAAACCCCCCCCCCAGTTCTGATGTAACAGAAAGGTTATTTAGAAGCCACTGCAAAGGACATTCATCAAATGAAAGCAAGTTAGGCTTGTGTAAGGAGACACTTTCACAGAGGGTCTGGGTTTTTAGAAAGTCTGCTATAATGATACAGACTACACACTTAGTGATGAATTGAACTGTACCTAGAACACCAGTTATATGAATCTGGAGCACAGCACCGACCCTGGAATCTGGTGCAGTTCTTGCATCTTTCCCCTGCTGCTTTCTTTCATTGGACAGCAGAGATGGAAGCGCTGCAGTCGTTAAACTCTGCATAGTACAAATGGAATTAGTGTTTCAGGGTATCTTTCAGACACTTAGTGAGCAATTATACAGTGTAATACCAAAGTTATCCTGGTTTCTGCTAACTGGTGGCTGCAGACAAATTCCAGGGATAGGTTGTCAAAGAAACTGCATAAAAATAGAACAGGAAATTGGAAATGATCAAAAAAGCTGAGATAGAAGGATAATATTTCTATTACTGCATATTTAGGCCTATTCCAACTTAGGGAATAAAATCAATCTGACTCATAGTCGCTTGAAATTGTTCTACTTTTGCAAATTTTTAATCAAGAAATGAAACTCAAAGGAATGAGGATGAAAAATGTACCTCCCCTACTTTAAGCATATTGCATTAAACAAAGCCACTAGGATTCTAAGGATATGTGCTTTGGTGTGAAAGTAAACTTGTCCTTGCTCAGACACTGCTAAAATCATTAACTGCTTCTTTTAAAATGTGCATATTTACAGTGTTTGACAGGCACCAGAGTGGCTGCAGCCAAATACTTCCATACTACAAGTAATCTCAAGTCAGAAATATTTACACCATTCCCGGACTACCAGTGCAGCCAGTGAACCATCCAACACATGTGCTGACTTCCAGATCTAAAAAATAGCTTATATAAATTCTAACTGTTTGAGACCACTTTCAAATTCAGGTTTTGTTCTTGAAATGTATTAAGTCAATTAGTGTTATCTCCAAAATGCCTTCTCCCTACAGCTCAGGAACCCAAACTCCCAAAAGACACTGCTCTGCTTGTCCTAATGCAATTACAGACAACCTACAGAGGCCAAAACGCACAGAAATCAACTCTAATGACATCTTCATAATCTTCATTAGAGCTCCTGATCAATATCCTCCCAACAATCCCTCCCTCAACAATCCCTACTAGAGATGATACAGGAGGGTCATAGTGAAGAGAACTTTCTCAAGGTGTAAAGGCTCAGCTAAGAGCTTTTTGTTCCCTACAGTCTGTTAGGACAGGACTTGCTTTGAAAATATAAATAAATCCACCCAATCCAATAGTATTAACAATCACTTGGGTCATTCTTGCACTGCTGGAAGACTTTGCAAGTTCACTGCAAGTTCTCTAACACAGTGGTTTATCTAAAGGAGTCAGAAATGTTGTGCTAGAATTTAAATATCACTTAACCACACGAACCATTTTCCTCCACCTGTTTTTGTTATCTTTACAGTATTATAAAAAAGTAATCAAAAAATTACTCCTAACTGAGTGTATTAAGTGTAAAACTGAGTTTGGAAAGCTATGCATGACACAAAAATAACTGAGGATGACTTAGTGGGACAGGACAATACTAACAGAAACACCACCTCTTGGCTTTGCATTCCAGACTCCATGTAAAAGAAATCCAAGCTACCAGAGGACTGAAACCACAGCTATCCCAATTCTTCACCTGACATATCATCAACTTCACTTTTTGCCTCAACCTCTGCTCACCACCTCCGTTCTTTACCCTCAGCTAACTGCTACTTTCATGTTCATTCTCTTCCTTCTCTTTCTAAATATCCAGATAAGTGGCAGTATTTAAGCATTCAATAACTAAAAAGAGACATGCTGTCATCCTAAATCTTGTTACAATTATTTCTTCTGCCTCCTTAAGGCAGGTTCTTAAGCTTTTCAATATAAAATTTTAGAGACAAAATGACATCTTACAGAAAGTAATAAATGTCCTGGGAACCATCAAAAATTGAGTACTAGACCCCAAGTTTTCACTCTGCCATAGAGCTGGTGTATCTATTTAAGGGGGATAAATTAATAATTTTCAGATTTCACCAGTTGCCCTAAGAGGTAAAGCATAGTCTTACAGATTTGCCTTGAAGGAGTATTCCAGGTTTTCCTATTGTCTCTCTTCTGGTGTTATTTATTCTTAGTTGCAGAAAATGCATCACAACACCCACCCTGAAAAGCTGATTTATAAATCTCCCTTGTGCAGGAGCCACTGCAGTTACAGACAAACTGCACTTAAAAAGGCTTCTGACCTTCCCTAATCACAACCAAAATGAGGTGCACGTGTTGACAAACAGCATCTTTGCAGAAATTTCTGCAGTTCACATCACTACAGGATTTGTTAAAGTCCAGCATGAACTGGGACAATCTTGGCTGGCCTTTGCTCAACGTTCACCATTACATCTACAGCACAATGTTTACCTCCCTGGTGTAGCAGACTCAAAGGCAACCACAGGAGCTTTATGGGGCTAACTCCTGTTTTATCCAATTCCAACACTTTAGCAAAGCAGGTAGAAACAGACATTTCTCTTCACACTTAGGAATGATGTGGAGAAAAAGAAAATTGGAAATGCTGAAGGAAATTGATTTCTTCCTAACTTCTCTTCTACCTATAGCCTTTCCTTAACAGAAAAGATCTTGGGACTGCACTAATTTACATTTTAGACAGTTTCTTCTAATGGCTGATAGGACAAAGAGAAGCACTTACAAGTGCCAAAGTGCAGAGCCATTTGTAGCATGACTTCAAAGCAGTATTTCCTTACCCCGGTGTTCTGCTACACTTCCATTGTATAAAAACACACCTCTCCCTACACCTAAATTTGGGGTTATTTTCAGTCCTAAGCTAGCTAACACAATTGAATCCACAGGCCATGATGTGCTAGCAGTTTCCATTCAGCCCAGCAGTCTGGTTCTTATAACAGAAACAGGGTCTAAATCACTTATTTCTGTAATACTTAAGGTATCTCCTCTCTCCTTTATGCCTACAAGGTTCTTTCACAGTTTACTGACAAAAAACTGGGAGCATGTAAAAGGAATCCTAACTATAACCCTGAAATTCCTAACTCCACACACTAATGAGCATGGCAGTACAGCATCAGCTCCGAAATTAGTTCCATGTGTGTGATCCTGCATAGGCCATACCAAGCTGAGCTATTTTGACATGGAAAACCCACCACAACTGAGAGCAGATCCATGATGCCCTGTCAGATTAGCCAGCAGAGTCTGGCCCAGTTCAGTTCAGTGTCTGGGATTTTATTTGCTTTGTCAGACAGAGCACATCAGTCACAGCTAGAGCCAGTTCTGAGCAAGCTGCTGCAGAGACGACTGTACCTGAGCCAGGATGAAGTCAGGTTTAATTGTTAAAACCCTCCTGATACGAAGTTACACAGCCCATAATTTTGGAACAAATAGGAACCAGACTAATGACTTTAAACCAGATCAATTTCTTCCATCATGTGACTTCAGTTTTATACCAAGCACTGGAAGTTCTATAGCCACATTTACTGCACAGAACCACAGCAAGGATGTCATCTCCCAGCAGGGGAGGATATTGCTTACATTAAAAGCATCTCATTCCCCTCTCCTACACACACTTCATTAACCCCAAGCAAGACACTCAGTGATATGTACTAAAAACATGGAACATCCCAAACTTTTAAGTCCATTGACGGACACAGATGAAACCTACGTAATAAACTAGAAACTCAAGCTATTTGGTCTAAAAAGCTTTACATCAGCCCAAGACTAAAGTTTATTTCACACTGTGCACTATTTCACTAATGTTAAATTTATACATCTCAAGTAACTCAGTCACCTTACCAATTTTAAGGTGCAAATTACTTTTTACCCACTATATCAGCATATTAGAAAAGCAACATAAATAACAGAGATCCTAAGCACTACATATTAAGACAAACACTGAAATACTACAGGTTTATACAGCTGAAATGTTCCATTATTTCTGGAATGATCCAAAACCAATGCTGGATTCTCACCATGCAGCATCTGTTGTTGAGAACCTTACACACTTACACCAAAAGCATCTTTCCCCAGTGTGTTGAGAAGCAATTCTGCACCTACACTGTCTAAGGTTTATTTGAAACAGCTGGAATCCTGCAGCAGCATTTAATGCAATGGGAATGCCACACCCCTTGGAAAAATGCCATTTAGTAGAGGCACATTTACATATGATTGTATTTTCTATTAAAATAACTTTGGCTGAGAAAAAGTAAATTAAACTCATAATGACAGCAAACTGCTTCATTTTCCTTTCCTGTCTACACATTATAAGCCAAAACACTAGAATTCTTCCAAGAAAAGTAAGTTTAACAGCAACAAAAATTCATATTGAGCAGTAAATTCCTTATTTTAAGCTACAACTGCTACTTTGTCTGGCTCTTTTTTTAAAGGAGGAATTGATAGGACTGAAAATAAGTGTTTCTCCAGCTTTATACTGACAGATGAAGTGGCAGCCTTGTCACACTTTTTTTCTTCAGTGGCAGTCTCAAAAATCAGGCAAATATGCTTCCACTAAAATAGCCTTTGTTGCTTGATGTTTCGGAAGTAACTCCCAGGCTGTTGGCTGCGCTGTGTGTCGTACCAGTGTGGTTACCAAGAGCTAAAACTGGTGTTCATATCTCAACTCACACTGAAAGCTCTCTGCTTTCATCCAGCACCCTGAAAAATATCAGACATGCTACACTGAGAGATTGTTAAAAAAAAAAATTAAAAGCAGCTTTTCAAATGAAGATACTCTGCATTGAGAACAGGTATCCAAGATGGAATACAGATTTCCTTCCTGCCGGG